GATTAAACATGACAAAGCGCCCTCTGGATGCCCAGATGCCCAAAAAGGCCTCCTGCACCCATGGGCCACGGCCAACCAGAAGTCAGCCATTTTGGTTTGAATGTTTACACACACATTTTTAAGGTGTTTTCCAAACTCCTCCTAGGGATTTATGAAAAAAGATCTGAAACTGCATCCACAGGTACCCACAATAGTCTACTTTCAGACTGAGGTACAACTTTCTGCACTCTAAACCCCCCTGCCCCCTCTTCAACCCTGTTGTTGGGTTTGAAAAGGAACCGACTACTTATTGGGTTAAATTGACCCAGAATGTTGGGTTATTCAAATTAACTCAAATTTTGGGTTGACTCAGTAACCCTTTTATCTTTGAGTTTATCTGACTCATGATCTTGGGTTAAATTGATATATGCATTTGGAGAGCTTTTTTTGGGATATATATATATATATATATATATATATATATATATATATATATATATATACACACACACACACAATATCTATCTATCTATCTATCTATCTATCTATCTATCTATCTCCATTGTGTGTGTGTGTGTGTGTGTGTGTATATATATATATATATATATATATACACACACATATGTATATATATATATATATATACTGTATATATATATGTATTCACAATATGATTATATATCATATTGTATATAAAATCAAGGTCACTAGGGCAGTTTAATTGCCATTAGGCCTAGAAACCATGTAGAGTCAATGAAACCCACTTTCAGACCTGATTATTGGGTTACTCTCAGAAAAAATAACCCATAATTATAAAACGATTCAAATAACCCTCAAATTGGGTTACAATAGAATTCATATGACCCAAGAAATGGGCGTGGATCTTTAAAAAATATCCCAGAAATGTAACTCAACCTGTATAACCCAGAAATTGGGTTGAAGAAATAAATAAGAGTTTTTAGATTGTGCTATGAGGCTTAGTTTGGCAACAGCGCCCCCTCAAACACAAGTAGTGTTTATTGCAAGCGCCTGCACATAGCTGCCTCAAAGGCAAACCATTTACAGTTTTGATGTCATTTCTCATCCGGTCGTTAGGAGAGACCTTATGCAAGAATATATGAAAAAGGTCATGAATGTAGGTCAAAGGGTGTGGTCATAATGTTCCCTTTTTCACTTTGATGTTTTTACACCATAAATGAGACAATTTTTATACTCAAAAATAAAGGTTTAAATAAAACCTGAAAAAGTGCTCCAATGCTGTAACCACTCCAAACCAATGATGTCAGCCGGTAAAGTGACTCAACCTCCGAGTCCAGTTACTTTAATTAATATTCTGATTAATTGTGGGCAGGTTGCACGTGTCTCTGTGATCCCACTGCAGCAGAGAAAGGTGCAGAAATGTGGAGACCGGACATTTCATGGCTCAACTGCAACGCAGCACTGAAAAGAGATATGAGGTTGAGAACGCTCAGAGTGAAAGTGTTTTCCCAGCGTGCTGTCCATCCACGTGAGAACGCAAACGTGTTTACAGCTTTTATATCTGTTGGAAACGGCAGCTCTCGAAGCAAAGGCAAAAAGAAGCCGCTATTAAAGAAGAGGGAATGCTGTGAATTGTGCAAATGGGTATAAAGGCGAACAGAACAACAACAGGGAGGCTTAAAAGGTTTACAATCTAGGTTTGTACACATGAAGAGAGACTGAAAACAAGAGCTAGGATGAGGATTTTAAGAAGGGTTTGGGTGCTGTTCAGGTACCCAGCAGGTACTTTGAACAAGAGTGGCATCGCCTGAAAATCTCTCTGGCTTCATCTCAGTGAGCCACTATTTGAAACATAATCACCAAACATCTTTGCCAAGTTCTCTGTTTTCCAAATTTTCTGATTTCATGTCCACTCTGCCACTTTGATAAGAGCGTCTTTAATGGACATTATTACTGAGGAGTAATAGCCTGTTTCCCTCTTTTGTAAATACTTTCACATTTCCAGGAGGCATCTCCTTGTCAAAACACCTCTAAGGTTAATGTTTCAACAAGATAATGTGCACAGGGCAGCTCCTCCTGGTGTATAAGAGTAAATCCCTTGCACTCTTTATCTGTAGAAGGAAGTTTTGAAAGTCCAAAGCTGCATATAAAACTTCAGAGGTGCCTGTCTTTAACAGTCAGGCTTATCAGCTACCTGACTCCTCCAGCACTGGGATCCCTAATCTCTACTTAGGGATGGAGAGGACAGCCCGTTTCAGACGGCGGTGAGCGAAGGGAAAGAGGGAGGTGTTTTTTTTATTTTTTTAAACACGCTAATGAAGGCTCGCCTCCCTCCCGCGGGCTGCAGGTTTGATATTCCCTGACAGGCAGAAATACATTAGCCGCTGACTGTCCATTTTATTTTTGACAGCATCAGGCGGAGGCAGGGGGGGAGCATGACTATCTCACTAACTCCCACTTTCCCCATTTTTTCCGTAAATCCCAGACTGACACCTAAAGTCACCGCTGTCAGGAATGCAAATTACAAACAAACATGTTGACAAGTATAAAGCACCAAGGCAACAGTACAGCTAAATATCTGAGTACAAGTGGCCGTTTCCTGGTGTGAAACAGGCAGTGATTTATCCGATCAGCAGAGGATAGTGGGTGATTTATGGCCCATTTCTTATGCCCATCGTTCAACAGCCCGTACAACATATTTGTATGCAGGTCGAGTAAGGTTTTTGGTTCGCTGGTCACAATCAAAGCCATGTTATTATAGCACTGAGGCTCCAACAACATAGCAGCAGAGGAGAGAGACTGACTAGAGCTTATCAAGTGCTAATGCATCTACAAGAGCAGCTCCCTCCTCTACAGCTCTATTACACATCTGACCTGTTCATAGCTCGGACTTTCAGGGGAGAGCGACTTCACTAAAGAGAGTTTAGAATTTAATGAAACCTGCAGTTATTAGATCAAAAAGTAACTACAAATTAGTCAGCTGATGTGCAAAAATTCAAACCTGATATCTGCCAACAATTTCTATACCTTAAAGCTACAGTAAAGAACTTTTAATGTGTGTTGATTTTGGTGCCCCCTATGGCCAAAGTGTGACCTCTTATGTCTTGTATTGTAGATTTGATCAACCCTCTTGTTTGTAATGTGTTGAGAACTGTTTTAAAGCTCTGTTCAATACTTAATTCTGATTGTCCAATTATGAGGTTTATAAGCGCTCTAAAACTAGTTGCACAGTGATTTAGATGCAACACTTTTGTACAGCCCCATCCGCAAAAACAAACAGGGTCTCAAGCAGCAGATTAGAGCACTGAAAATTTCCTATTCACTCAAAATAATATGAATATTTGGGTCAGACTTTGTTGAAACTTGCCAAATTACCTAGTACAGTTAATTAGCTACAGAATAGCTACCAATTCATTTGTACAAGAGTTTAGATGTTAGAAACAGTGGAATTTGATGGTTTGCAAATTCTAAAAATAAAATCTTTGTTTATTTAAAAAATTATGCATTCAAAAAGAAGCAGCATGCAAATTTTCTCTAATTATGATAAAAAGTACAACCCCAATCCCAAAGAAGTTGGAGACATTTGTGAAATTGTGACAAAAAGGAGAATTTGATGGTTTGCAAATCATTTATGGCCTTTATTTAATACAAATAGTCAAAAACAACATATCAAATGTAGAAAATGATTCTGTAGTGGAAGTCACCACAAAGGCAGATTCTAAGCCTATTCCTGCAGAATATGATTAAAATTAGTCTTAACAGCAGTCTTTATGTCATAGCTACAAAGAAAGAGCAGACTAATCTAAATGTATTGAACTTGGCTGTATCATACTTTTCTGTAGGAGCCTTAATGGGTGATGATTTTTAACTGAAATGTTATATATTTGAAATTCCATTAACGTCAGACAGGCTCTGCAGACAAAAGCAAAGCTATCTTATCTGAACCAACACTTCAAAGAGAGAAAAGCGTCCCTCCCAAAGGTAGATCTGCCGGTGTCTGATCTCCTCTGAGTCTCTGAGAAGATGTGACTGTCACTCAGTGTTTTGCTGACCTTGCTCACGCTGGTGCTTTTTTTGCTCTCTTATCATCCCTGCTCATCAAAGCTGCTGTAAATCTGCTCCAGAGGAGGTTCTGTGGTCATGAGGATCCTTCATCCCCCCTACAGTCTTCTTTTCCATCTTTCAAAAAGGCAGCACCTCCACTAATAAATGGATTTGGTAGTTACATCTACATACATCTTAAAGTGTGCTGCCTTGTCTTAAACACAACATACAGTGCATCCGGAAAGTATTCATACCACTTCACTTTTTCTACATTTTGTTTTGTTACAGCCTTATTCCAAAATGGATTAAATTCCCTTTTTCCCTAAAAAATTCTACACAAAATACCCCATAATGACAAACCAAAAAACTTTTTTCAGAACATTTTTGCAAATTTATTAAAAATAAGAACTCTTAAATGTTGCATATACATAAGTATTCACACCCTTTACTCAATACTTGGTCGAAGCACCTTTGGCAGCGATTACAGCCTCCAGTCTTTTTGTGTATGATGCAACAAGCTTGGCACACCTGGATTTGGGGAGTTTCTTCCTTGCACGTCCTCTCAAGCTCAGTGAGGTTGGATGGGCAGCGTCGGTGCACAGCTACTTTCAGGTCTTTCCAAAGATGTTCAATCAGGTTCAAGTCTGGGCTCTGGCTGGGCCACTCAAGGACATTCAGAGACTTGTCCTGAAGCCACTCCTTTGTCTTCTTGGCCGTGTGCTTAGGGTCATTTTCATGCTGGAAGATGAAGCGTCGCCCCAGTCGAAGGTCTTGAGCGCTCGGGAGCAGGTTTTCATCAAGGATTTCGATGTACTTAGCTGCATTCATTTTTTCCTCGATCCTGACATGTCTCCCAATTCCTGCCGCTGAAAAACATCCCCACAGCATGATGCTGCCACCGCCATGCTTCACTGTAGGGATGGTATTGGCGAGGTGGTGAGCGGTGCCTGGTTTCCTCCAGAAATGACGCTTGGCATTCAGGCCAAAGAGTTCGATCTTCATTTCATCAGACCAGAGAATTTTGTTTCTCCTGGTCTGTGAGTCCTTCAGGTGCCTTCTAGCAAAGTCCAAGCGGGCTGTCATGTGCTTTTTACTGAGGAGTGGCTTCTGTCTGGCCACTCTACCATAAATGCCTGACTGGTGGAGTGCTGCAGAGATGGTGGTCCTTCTGTAGGGTTCTCCCATCTCCTCAGAGGATTGCTGGAGCTCTGTCAGAGAGACCATTGGGTTCTTGGTCACCTCCCTGACCAAGGCCCTTCTCCCCCGCTAGCTCATTTTGGCTGGGTGGCCAGCTCTAGGAAGAGTCCTAGTGGTTCCAAACGTCTTCCATTTCTTAATGATGGAGACCACTGTGCTTTTTGGGATCTTCAATGCAGCAGATATTTTTCTGTAACCTTCCCCAGATCTGTGCGCCGATACAACCCTGTTTCGGAGGTCTACAGACAATTCTTTCGACTTCATGGCTTGGTTTGTGCTCTGACGTGCTCTGTCAGCTGTGGGATCTTATATAGACAGGTGTGGCTTTCCAAATCATGTCCAATCAGCTCAATTTGCCACAGGTGGACTGCAATCAAGTTGGAGGAACATTTCAAGGCTGATCAGTGAAAACAGGATGCACCTGAGCTCAATTTTGAGTTTTATAGCAAGGGAAAAGGGAATTTAATCCATTTTGGAATAAGGCTGTAACATAACAAAATGTGGAAAAAGTGAAGTGGTATGAATACTTTCTGGATGCACTGTACATATAACGTGACATTTTCACATGTATTATCAATGACAGATAAGTCTTATTTTAGCTCTGATGCTTAGGGTATCTACCTTTACTGTCAAAAGTTTTTAACGAAGGTCCGTGCCTCTAAAGAGTCCAAATATAAGGAGCTGTGAGTGCTGCCGGAGGCCTCATAGCTCTGGTGTTTTTAAGTTAATATGTTTTTTAGAGACGGCTTTTAGAGACAGATTTTAAAGGGGTGGGGGTATCATGCTTTTCCACATTTACTACAAAAAGTTACAGTGTTTGGTGTCCATGCTAGATGTATGTACATTTTTAGATCACAAGATAAATGTACGTTGTAATAATGCTTGAAAATAGATGTGAACTGATTAAAATGGTTAGTTGGGAGATCTCAGTGAGACACAACTGAGCGATGTGGTTGCAGTAGGCTCTCCTAACTTGTTCATCTGTGATTTAAGCTAGTTAAGCTAGAGTGAAATTAATAATAATGCCTCCATATGACTTGCAAAAGCAGACCAGTCCAATAATGAAACGATGGACTTTATCTATGCTGTTATTTTTGACATCTAAGACAGCTGCTGCTGGTGGTGGTGGGGTAGATCTCAGACAAATCTATGAAATGATTTTGAATGTGAGTTGAAATAAAGCTGGGTGATATCTGTTGTTAGAGAACACCTTCTACATTTACAGGAAAAACTGAACACACACATTAGAAACACACCTTTGTCCACAGCAAAAAAGTGCAAAGTCCCTAAAGTAGCTTCCACAAAAGACTTATGACAAAAACTTCACCTCTGGGATGCATCTGGACTCGACTCCTGCAGCCTCTGCTGTTGGGATCTGAAGCACCTCTTGCCTTTCATGGTGAACCAAAACCTGTGAATTTTCCTTCTGTCATCCACTTTTATTAAAGAAGTATGACATGACCTGACATTTACGGGCTCCTGGATTAGGCATAATTGAATGTCACTATCAGGAAAGGAGTTACATAACAGCTTTTATAAGGCCTGCAACAACTGTAAAAAAGAGCATGTTGTACATGTAAATGCCGCTAATCCCCCTGTCAATCAGGAGAAGAGTAAAAGAAGCTCTTTCAGTAAGAGAAAAGCATGTTTATCTGTTTGTTTCTACTGCTCTAAAGATTTCTAACAAGTTCAGCACAAGGAGAGAAAGTCATTTTGTCTAAAGTCGCTGATGTAATGCAGAGCTCTTCATGGAGCCAAATGTGTCACAGTTACCCAACATGTTACTATCCTGCACAGATTGAGTGGACTGCCAGCAGAGGAAGAGGAAATGGCACTTGTTCCATCTGTGTCAATACTTGGCTGTGAACACAGTGTCGGAAGGAAATGGAGTCTTTCTCAAAGAGGGGTTGGGGGTGGGGGGGTGGGGGTGGTATCGACCACAGACTGTTACCTTAGTAAAGTGCTGCTGTGCGAGGGGAGGTGTGGGGAGAGAAATGGACTGATGGACAGACGGGAACTATTCATTAAGAGCCCATTCATCAGCTGTGTGTCTGCACATGTGGTGTCTAAAGGTCTCCCTGAAAGCCAGCCAGAAGACGGGGTGCTGCACCCAGCTCTCTATATGTCTGTCTGGTGCACCTTTTTACAACTGCCTGATTTTATGTGCATTTCAAATTTTCTCCTGGAGCTGACAAGCAGACAGGAAAGTGAGCAAGAGCTCCAAAATAACCAAAAAGTTTCATACTTGGCTTACTTACAGTTTCATGAGAGGAATCTATTAAAGACAAACTTAAGGTATTGGAAATGATGTAATCATAATCATTGTGATTCCCACCAAAAAGTCACATCTGATTTTAATACCGTTCCGTCTAAGAGCTTGTGTCACCAGCATGAGAGTGGTAGTAATGCAAAAAGATATTAGTTTTTGAGTGCCAGGCTGTTATATCTGCTGGACAGTTGGCATTTCTGTAATAGTACTAATATGGACTGACTCACATTTGGATGCAGCCCCTAGTGGCCACCTAAGCAATTGCATTGCTGCATGCGTATCTCTTTTGGGCTTTTATGCCTTTTATTAGGGGACAAAACAGTAGAGAAAGTTGGAAACTAGGAGTAGAGAATAAAATGCAACCAAGATCCTTACCCCCAAATTCCACCACATGCGAACAGCACCACTGCGGAATGGTGGCCATTTTCGCTGAATCTTCTGCTGAATCTTATTGGAAGCGTTTGTGAGGCGAATTTCGTGGCGAATTTTGGACAGTGGGAATCGTGAGGACTCACAAGAACCCGCGAATTCAGATGCAATCATAGGATAACGAGTTGTCTCTATAGAGACAGCCACATAAAGTTATTGATAAATAAATATCAATAAAGTTATTCTTATTCTTATAACCCTATAAGCAGTAGATTGTGTCCTTCCAGAGGAGGAAATCCAGCAGACTAATCTATTTCAAATCTAATAGATTTCTGGAGATTAGTTTGTCTATGCCTTTGGCCAGCTCTGTCTCCAGTTTACTTAATCTGGTACACTTTGTTAGGTAAACCTTGATTTAGCCTGGCCCCTCTAATGGGAACTGTGTCTGCAGTTTGATGGTCTCAGAGGGACTTGATTTTTAGTGTGCAAATCAACAGATTAGACCAGTCAGATGGCCTATGTGAGAGGTACATTATGGTTGAACTTCTGGAATGCTCTTTAAAGTAACACATATCTGCTTCCCTCCTGTAGAGATGCTGAAGTTGTGTCCAGGACAGTTATTTAGTAGTAAAAGTAAATTGTACAACTTTTTGTTCTAGTTTGGGGCCAACCTTTCTTTGAAAAATGGTTGCCATTTTTTCCCATTGGCCGCAGATAAACTAGATTAATTATTACATAACATCTGGTTATGGGGAATATTTCACCTTGTGTGATCTCCTTCTCCCTTTGAATCCATCTTTGTGCCCCTTTCACTGCTCAGCTGGTAGCTGTGTGTGAATAAAGCACTCGCTTAGAAATCCCACCTGAAAGCAGTCCCTGTTATGAATAAAAAAGTGAATGAAACAGAGTTATAATTCTTTGAGGTACATACTTTACTTTTATTCTTTAATTTCTCTTTTGTATTTATTGTCGTTCTTTAATATCTCCTCTCTTTTGTATTTATTGCTGCTGTAAATCTGGAATTTCCCCATGTGGGACAAATAAAGGAATATCTTATCCTATCTTATGTGTTTACAGGACACATAAATTCAGCTTGGGGGAGTTATTATTATTGTGTCAAAAGGTGCTGGGTTTTTTGGTACCTTTCCCAACTTTTGACAACAAAAACTCATGTATTTGTGAGTGAACTGGTCTGCTTGGTGGACATACAGGTAAGGCTGGTCAGAGAGCACACAGGCAACACATCCATTCATGATGCTGTAAAAGCAGATTGGCACCAGTCGTTTCCTCCTCACTGTGTCTTTCTTTTTTTACACCCATGACTGACAGAAACCTTTGAGAAGAGTCTGACTCCATCTCTGAACCCCCCAGGTATCCCAAGTTTGATTTCACAAAGCAGATTACCTGAGGGTGCAATGAAATGCTTCCCATGACAATCACAGGCATGGGTTATTACTCATGCCTGTTTGAATGTGAAAGACATTTAATGAGGTATACTTCTCATTTGCATATTGAGGCATTGTTTTTGTAATATATTCATGTTCTGATAACTGCAGGAGAATAACACAAGTTTACCATAAAGTATAAGACTTCACTTATGAACAGATAATTTATTCCAACATTTACATTCCTCACAGCTGTTAATTCATTCATGGAAGCTTGATAAACGGACACCAGAATTACTCAGGTGTTCAAAATCTTTCAAATTTATTGCATCTGTTATGAATATTATTAAGCCAGAAATGGGTGGAAAATGACATTTAATCAGAAAAACCACATATTTAAAAATTAATGATGCAATTAAGTCATGGCACAGGCTTTCTGCTGTTCAGTAACAAGACAGGCGTAGAGAACCGACAGGCCGACTGCATGCATAATATATAATATGAATCAGAACCATCGGCTATACAATCCCCTCACTTCTTTTCCATTTCTTTGGTCACGGTTTGGTAGTTAGGCCTCACAGAGCGAAGACATGTAGAGGGGGTCTGAGCTAAAGAAAGGCCAAAGAAGAGGATCCACTTCTCCTCAGATTTATTACTGGGTCACACGGCACTGGTGTAATGTGCCATTATGATACTGACAGAGGGAGCTGATGGAACCTCGTTTGGTATTCAGGAGCCGGTGACAGCATACAAACACTACAGTGAGAGTGTGTGACAGTCAGAGCTTATTGACTGCAGTGATCAGCCGCAGGCGAACACTATAAATAAATACCTGATGTGATTCAGAATGAGAGTGAAGCTGAAAGGCGAGGTGACAGAGGGAATATTGTCAAAACTGAGAGGACTTTGTTATTAAATCATGTCCTTTCTTTAAACTACAACAGCCAAAACAAATGTCTCAAAAGAAGTCACACATCACTATAAGAAAACATCATCAGGTATCTTGACTTTTGTGACCAGATGTCCCAGTTTGTCTTGGATCGTCCCAGTTTCCAGCTCAGTGTCTCCATTAAATACAACCCAATTCCTTAAGAATAAGAAGGGCCTGGATGCTGTATTAAATATTGCTAAAATCTGAATTTGATGGATTGTAAATCATCTACAGCTTTTATTACATTGAAAATACCTCTAAGACAATTTACGATCAAATGCTAAAACTGAAAAAAATTACTTTTTGTAAAATCTTTGCTGCCACAACAATATTTGTATGTTTCAAAACACTGACAAAGTTGTCCAGTGCTTAAAAAATGACTTATTTGCAACAGGTTAGTAACATGACTGGGTATAGAAAAGGGTATTCAAGAGGAGCTGGGGCTTCGTAGGGGAGATAAGGAAAAGTTAACCACTCCGTGAACGACTGGCTTATGAAATAGTTCAACATTTGGGGTTTACATCAACTAATATCCTTAAAAGATTCAGAGATTCTGGAGAAATCTGCAACAAAGTGACCACTCAGGTGGCTCTGCAGAAAAAACAGACATGGCTCTGTAGTGGATGTCATTGCAGCTGGTCAAAGTTATACCTAAAAAAGGACTGTTTGTCAGCTGGAATATTCATGGAAGCCTACTTCTGTTTGTTTGTTTGGATCCTCATTTGCTTCCATAAAGTGGTTGCTAGTCTTCCTGGGGTCCAAAATGCTAAAAACACAATACAGTTTCATTTTTATCAATTAATTAATAATTAATACAATTACAGATTCAATTCATAATTCTTGACAACATTAAAATCACTCCAAGATCTATGCTTTTTTAAGTTCATTCATACAGACAGTTTTGTTTTAAAGTCCTTTTAACATAATATATACTGCTTATTTACCGTGTGCTCCTTGGCAATTGATTCTGTTCTGAAGAGGACAGGGACCACTTGGTTAATTCAGCACAGCTCAAAAGACAGGATCCATGATAGTATGGGAATGCATTAATGCTCACGGTTTGGTTAGGTTACACATCTGGGAAGCCTCCATTAATACTGAACAACATATACATGTACAAACAGGATCATTGCTGCTTGTATTTGTATTAGTAAGAAGATGCTAAACTAAATTTTGCCTTGAAAGACATGCAAATGTGAAATGTGTCCATAAAACTCTGAAAAAGAATTAAGTACTGTTTATTTTCTGGAGTTCTTGACTCGAGTATCATGAAATCTTAAACTTAGACTTTATTTCCGAACGTAATCAAATTTTACTTCTCTGCATGACAATGTAGCTTCTGCCATTGCCTTATTATTTTGAGATATCAAAGCTGCTCTTATAAAAATGGGACAATTTTCTGGTGGACTGTGGAACAGAAATCCACTGACTGGTAATAGTGACAGGACAGACCACAACTTGGCATGCATACAACTCACTCTAATAAGGTAAGTTCAGCCTATTTCTGTGTTTATTTAGAGGAACAAAACTATGGAAACTCAATGATTGTCTGACATCAAGTGTAGATATTAAGAACACAAGCAGGAAATAACTAATAACAGGAACAGAGTCAGTGAAAGGTTTGGATAAATCTGCTCTCGGCTTTTTAATATCAAGAAGAAACTGTCAAGTTTTTTTCTTTAAATAATTCTGTAATAATCGTGGTTACAGATTTTTTCTAGGGCAGACATGAACATTAATAACGTTCTGCCCTACTTACAAAGCCCAGTATCAAAACATCAACAATGAACCTTGTTCTTGAATGCAGCACTCGTCTGTCTTATCCTGTGTCAATCAATGATTGTCAGAGCTCTTGTTTGACTGTGAGTCATTGAAGCTCTTCCCAACAGAACCTGTCAATATACTTACACTTGGATGTCTTTCCCTCATTAATTTAGAGCTTAGTGGGTGTCCTGAGCAGGGAAATACAGTTTTACAGTTCTGTTAGAGGGGCTTTTGTCATGTGGATAAGAACATAGATGTTGGCACAGCGGTATGGTCTTTATATTTGATGTTTGCTGACTCGAATGAGGACTCCTGGTCTTTTCAGGCTTATAATACAACTACCTGTTGTCCTTTAAGTGGAGTCTTGTTGACTGTGCTGAGTAGAGTCACTCAGGGTAAAAAGAATGAATCATGAAAACCTCTTGATTCATGAAGATGAGTGAGTAACATCTTTGCTAATATGGTGTCTCTGCCCTCCAGTGGTTTGAGTCCACTTCGTAGGTAGATGTTTGAGAATAAAATGTCCAAACCAAACTGCTTTATCAACAGGGGTGCAGCTGTTGATATCTGCATCTGGCTCAGTGCATTTATCTGCTCTTGTAGTTTCTCATATCACTGCTATGCAGATGATACCCAGCGCTTCCTGTTATTCTAAAGAGGTGATGCAGCTGATCAGCTCAGATCTCATCATGCTTTGCTAATATTTCCCATGGATGAATATGACTAAATTAAATTAATACGAGCCTCCAACTCTGCAAGATATCTGGGTGTCATGGTTGATGACCAGCTAATATGAACCACAGGTTCAATATGGTCGTCATTGCTTGATCATGCAGACTCATCCTCTATCGTATCAGGAGGATCAGACCTTTCCTGACAAAGCATCCAACACAGATCCTTGTACAAGTTCTCCTAATAATAACATAATGACCTCTGCAACTCCTTACTGGTGGGTCTCCCTGCATGCAAATTCCAACACTTATGATGAACCCTGATCCGTTGTCTTGGGTAGTCTGGTACATGAAAGATGGTGTGAAAGCTAATACAAACTCTGGTCTTGACCAGAGTCCACTATGGCTGTGTCTCAATACAGAGTCTGCACTATCGAAGTGCAGATTTCAATGGTGCATGACATCATCCCGCAGTGCTAAGGGTGTCCCATTTGACTCACGATATTTTCGCTTATATTTGTGCACACAACAAAAATGTATGCATCATGGCAGGTCACTTATCAAGCGGTCTTGCATTTATGTGTAAGTACTGGATTTTAATTCATGCCAACATGTGAAGCAAAGCTTAAAAAGCACATTGTGAACGTTCCAAAATGTGAGTGAAATGGTGATGCAGGTGTGTGTTAAATCAGTCCTTTTGCCCTGTTCAAGCCGACTGTTGCAAATTGTAGTTTTGGTACTTGACATCACTTCAATTCCCAAGTTTTAGGTATTGCCAGGGGCCGATTTACATTTTTATGGTGCTAAAATGCTAAATGTTGCAAGTAAAGTGTAGAAGGATGAATAATCTAAGGTCTAAATCCCTTTGGTCCAGTGCTTGCTCTTGTGGGCGGGGGGGGGGGGGGGGGGGGGTATCCTGGGTCCCTGTGATAGGCTTGAAGTTGCCCCGGGATGCTATAACACAAAACTGTTCATGTCGTACCCTAATCTGATATGTAGCCTATGTTTGTTTGTACTCTACATGTAGAGCACTTTATAACCATGTTTAGATGAGTGTTGTCAAAGTAATTATGTTGTTAGAGTTCTTATCAATATTTAGAAAAACCCTTCTAGTTTTAAGGGTGCTCAGTAGTTGGCTTGGGCCCTGAAAAAGAAGGAGTAAAGGTCAAACCTCTTTATGAAGTACATTATGGCCATCCATCAGCCTGGACAATTGATCTGACATGCATGTATGGATTCAATATCCAAATGTTGGCATTGGCATTGTGCACCGGCATTGTTATCCATCCAGTTATTAAACACTTGTTTGTTCCTCAGGTATCTAAAGAGCCTCCCACAGGGGCTGGGGCAGGTGGAGCTGTGACAGCTGCCACTTTGCCCTGGTTCATCCTGATGGATGAGATGTTGGGGCAGAGGCCATCAATGCCCCCCCCCCCCCCCCAGTTCTCATCGCCTCGCTCCCAGAGGACAAACCAGGGCCAAGTGGCACTGCACCTGCCAGGCGGTGGCAGCAGCAGCAGAAGGATGAGAAGAAGAGAGAGGAAGAGGAGGAGGTGTGCGAGGAGGAGAAGGAAGAAGACGAGGACGACGACAACATTAATCCAGCCGCTCAGCAACCTCACTCTAGAGGGCAGAAAAAGAGGAGGCCAGCATCCGATGCACTCCTGGCTCTACTCAGAGAGGAGATCGCCTATCAGCGGCAAGCTGAGGCCAGAAGCCAGGAGTGGAGGGAGGGAATGCTGGCCTTATTTGAAAGAATGGTGGATTTGATTTCTATTTATGTTACTATTATATTCACGCTTATTTAAAAAATAATAATAATAATAATTTGAATGGACTTTTTTGTATTGTTTCACATTATAAATGGTATTTAATTTATTAAAGAACTTAACCTTGCTTACACTGTCTCAAGTTCATTCATATGTCCCTCCTCAAGCTGTGTTGGCAACAGGGTGGCCAGACAGCATCCAGTGCTTCCTCACATTACAAAGAGTTTTCAGATCTGAGTCATTTTTTTTTATTCACAAAGGGTGAGGAAAATGAATTAAAAAAAAAAGAAATAAAATACTGAGGTCAACAATAAACAGAAAAATGGCAAAATGCTGAATAAAATGGGCACCAATCTGTATAAACAGAACTTAAGAAAGTTAAGTGGCCCCCCTCCTGCACAGGACCCTGGGCTATTGCCTGCCCTGTTCTGATAAGACATGTCCAGACTGCGTGAATTAAGGGGAAATTCATGTGATGCATGGGGAGTGACAATGGCACAACTATTGTGTGGCTGATGAATGCCAAATAAAAATAACAGGTTTACCTCTCAACTTTCGGCATGCAATCCGTCGCGCCTCTTCAAACAAAAGACCACATACTGAAGGTGATGGCCACAGGCTCCATTAACTCCTGTTACCTGTACTTACTAACACCTGCACCTGCTGCGCTCAACGGCTTTTCTTCAAGTCAGTTGTGATGTGAGCCTGAGGGCGGGGACATTTGGCAACTCATTGCGCTCAGCTGTATGCAGACCCTGAATTGAGACACAGGCCGTTTTGGAGTTCGCCTACTATACTAGCAGTACGTACTGATTTGCCCAAAATTTAGTATGCAGTATGCAGAGAAATGCAAAATTTGCAGTATGCCAAAAATACCCAGATGACGTACTGATTCTGGAAAATTTCACAGTATGCATCGGACCAATCTGCTTTGCCTACTGTTACCCACAATGCAAAGCGCCTGGGCAGACGGCAGAATAGCAGAGAGCAGCGAAACTTTTCACCAGAGCATTCATTTTCCAAGAAGACAGCCAAGATTTCTCCTTCTGACAGCCTGTATTCTCGTCCTTCTTTCAGCATTATTTGTGCAAACCACTGACAAGAATGACATGTTTTGTTCCCATACCTTTTTTTTTCCTATATATCCATCGCCTCAAATTTTCCTGCTTCTCCTCATCCCTTATTCTGTACGGTTCACATGATGTTTACCACTCACAGCGAGTGCCATCAGTGATGTTTACATCACACAGCTGGACAGTCAGCTGGCATTAGAGGGGGTCTAAAGCTTTAATGCAAAAAGGTGAGTAAACGTTAAAGCAGTCTGACTCAATCAGAAGCCAATATGGTATTTGAAATAAATTGACAGGAGACAGGAGGGTTTTCACTGTAGTTGTCAAATTATCGGGACAAAGGGAAATAAGACCACACCATGGGCCTGTTCTACGAAGCAAGTTCAACCTAGCAAGGTAGCTACCTCGCTCAACTTAGCGCGGTAGCCAGCAGTCTTGCTAAACAGTCTTACGATGCTGGTTAACAACCTCGTAAGTGGATCCAGCTTTGCTATGAGCGCATGCATGCATGTAAGGCGGAGCCCGCCGCATCTGACCAATCGCGAACATGGACCAGTCTGGAGCGTCAGTAGAGGCCGGAGAGCGAAGGACCGCAGACTTTACAAACCAGGAGCAGGAGACGATCATGAGAAAGTATGAAGAATTCAAATCTATCATAAACCTCAAAAGCAACACCGTCGCCGCTGCAAAAGCACTATTATACTCGGTGAGTTCAATCTGGAACCTAACCTGCCCCGGAGCAGGAACGTGACCCCAGTCACATGAATTTGTAGAGTTTGTATTTGGTTCTCTTTAAAAAGGTGTGATTTGTTCTCTTCATTTCCTTGACTTGAACCTCACAAATTTAAGAAGGTCTTGAAGTTTTACTCTGAGAATTTCTGCAACAGGTTGATAAGAACAAAACTCAGTCCAATAAAAATGCACAAAGACGTGTTCTGTAACAATAAACCAGGACTTGGACCCAAAAGCTGGACTCAGGAGGCAGATAAAAGTTCAGAGTAGGTTTAATCAAAAAGGGTTGGGTACACAGGTAGGCAGTCACACAGGCAGAAGTATCCACATCGAAAGGCATAAGCTCATTCCAAAAACACTATCAAAGCCAAAAAAACAGGAAATCAAACACAAGGTAAATGCTGGAACGTTTGACACAAAAGAACAAGACAAACTGGCACGGAAGGGAGAGTGAGCTGAAATACACTCAGGGAGCAGGAGACACAAGGGCAGGAAGTCAAGAGACCTGAAACAAGAGACACAGGTAAGTTTCAAAATAAAACAGGAAGGACATGACAAGAAACATGAGGAAGGGTAAATAAATTACCTTAACCAAACCAAAGACATAATATGTTCTTTGAACATAGAAGCTTTTTTAAATAAGACTAATAAAAGAAAAATACTGATTTATTTTATTGACGTCTACAGATCACACCACACATCCTTATAAATGGCTCAGACTCGGATTATAGCTGGCTGATTTTATGGCAGGCAGCTCGTCAGAGTTGGTGACAAGTGTGAAGGTTAAAACTGGGCTGAGTAACTAAAATAGAAGTGGAAGAAGAGGGGAGGTGTGCATATATTCATGCTGAGATTTTTAATGCACAGTATAAATTCTAATTAATTCACCAGACATAATCTATGTTGCAGCTAATTAACCTGAAATTTCCCCCAAGGACATGTCTGACAAAAAAGGATGAAGAAACAATTAGAAGCAGTTTCTCCAGAATCCATCAACAAAAATAAATAAATCATGCAGATTTTCTGATTCTAAAATGGCCTGTTGAAATTACTGCAGCAGGATACGGTCTGTGGAATTGACAGGACAGAGGCAGAGACACAAGGGGACATATGGCAAATATGAAGAAATGCATCCTGGGTTGCCTTTCTGAACTAGCTCTCAGGCATTGCTCCAATGATCGGGATGCAAAGTATGACTCATATAATGTGTAACAAGAGCAAAGCACTTGAATTAATGCAGTGATATAAATCTTAAAGCTATAGTGCGTAACTTCTGTCATCCCCTAGAGGATTTCTGCGTTTTTACAACACTACAGCCAGCACCTCAATATGACGTTGGCAAATCACACACGGTAACACTTACCAGACACAGCATACTGTTCTTCCCGGTATGCAAAGTAACAGTGGCCACAAAATGTGTACTGCTCCTCATGGTTACATGGAGAAACACTCGTGACAGACCACGTGCTGCTGGTCACAGACCACAGTACGCAGACTATAACTGTCCACACAACATGCAGGCTACTAACGTTACTCGTCACAGCACACAGACTCCCTGCAGTAAGTTACACACAGAAACACAGGCTCCAGACCTTGTAACTTACTGCTCATTAGGCTAACGTTACACAATGTGCTGAACACCAGGCTGCTAACAATACATACTTATCCAGCATTATCAAGGCAACATTGGTGTCGGACCTCAGTCCAATCTCCTCCTTCAGGGCTCTCCATCGAGGAAAAGAGACACCAATGTAAATCCGCTTTAGTCTTCTGTGTCTGTTACTCTCTTTCTCCTCTAACAGACCTTTTACTGAATGAGAAGGAATGGTCGCTTCATCCGGTTCTCCGCCATGTTGCTTCTAGCAGCGCTCTCCTACCCCATCCCTTCTCGTTGTCAGGTAAAACCAAGTTGAGCCCACCCCCCCACGACAGCAAATACAAAAACAACAGATAAGGAAAAACACTGCGAGGTGTTAGAGGAGCCAAATGGCTTAATCATGACACAATGCTTGATCAGTGTTGTATCATCTCCTCTTGTAGTGGCTTGGGTGAAAGTCTTTTTTACAGACACTTAGATCTTACACACTATAGCTTTAAGATGGTGATTTTACATTATCTGAGCTCAAGTAACATTCCAAATGTGATAATGTAGAATGCAGTGAACAATTATGCACACAATCTCCACTTTTCCTTGTTGAATGTGAAAAGTTATAATAGAGAAAAGTACAGAGGAACATAGGCCACCAATTCAGACATTTTCATCTTCTCAGCAGTTGCATAGCTCCTAAGTCGGCACACTAAGGAGACACAGTAACCTTTCCTATCTGCTCTTGCAGACCTTTCAGAGAGGCTCGTTTCCTCAGCGGGTTCAGTCATGGAGGAGGCAGTGGCTTCAGGATGGGGTTTGTCTGGACACAGTCCTTGTCCCTTATGCTACTTCCATTACACTAAAGGGTTTAGCATGAACTTTTCCTCATACTGGCACACACACACACACACGCACACACACACACACACACACACACACACACACACACACACACACACACACACACACACACACACACACACACACACACGCACAAGCATGCTGGCATGCTTCGAATCATCTTAGGAAACTGCCAGGACCTGCACATCCCTGGAGATGACTGTGAATAATTGATTTCAACCAGGAGACGTTTGCATTTTTCCCTTATTTCCATATAGAACAGTCTTGAGGAGGTGATTCAATAGTTGACTGATACTTGCAACACTTTGAAAAAGTTGGTGAAAGTGTAATTTGTAGGTCTAGGATGTGTCTCTAGGGATGTTAGGAAATAATGTCAACTTTTATTGAGAAGTCTGAGAGAGAGAGAGTATGAAATCCTCTCAGCAGGTTGGCAGGTTTGCCTTAAATATTCAAGTAACATGCAGCTACAGTTACACATGCAGTATGCTAAATAGATGACAAAGACCCTTCAACTGTTGTTTTGTTCATGCTCCTAGATGCATTTCCTGCTCTCAGGAGGTGTAAAAACATAAACAACAAAAAGATTCTTACCCACGTCACTGTTATTTTATCAGATTTCCCCTCACTCTTCCTGAATGGAGTTTGCTAAACTTTTTTCAAAAGGCTAAGATCCCTCGTGGTTTCTCCTTTTCCACTGCTTTCAGTGTTATCTTTCATTTTTGGGTCATGCGCGTGAAAAACAGACTTTTTTGAAGTGCCGAAACGGTTCCTGAATAAAAGGCATGTTA